AATAAACTTGTAAACAACTCCCAGCATTAAATTACTATTTGTTTACATGTTTAGTTTCTTAGCGAAGGTTAGACCGAAATACCGCATCCGTTCTGTGTATTCATACTATTGTGCTCGAGGTCCTTATCCGAAGACTGACGGAAAGGGCCGAGTAGTTGCGATTGACCTACGCTAAGAAGCTAAACATGTAAACAAATAGTAATTTACTTCTGAGAGTTGTTGACAAGTTTATTTCCAATACATCAAGTAAAATTTCACCTAAAATGAGTGAATTTATAGATAGAAAAGCAAACAATGTAATATTTATATATTTATTATAATGGTTGTAGAAACCGAAAGTACAAAATGCAAACCTGTTGACATTATGTAAATTGTACATCAGAGGGCATTTTTCAGTTAAAAAGTGTTGTCAAACATATTTTTAATCTGATTGTACCCAAACGTACCTTTTTCCTTTGGGTGTCAAATATATACATTCGTTTTACATTGCAAACTCTGTTTCTGTTTACATCCGAAACCACGAGGTAGAACTATTTTCAATCCGTATTGTTTTCGAGGTTATTATAGATAATAGCCGAGGACGTTCCGATTGGTGAAATACATAACTTTTGAAAATGGCGACCGCTTACATTTCACAAGGCCAAGTCTAATATAAATTCGCAGTAATTAACGAAAATAAAGTCGGGTGGTTTGACTTTTTCTTCTACTAGAATTGTTTGTTTTTTATTATTAAAACAAGCGATCATTCATATTTTTTAATAAAATGAATAATATCACCGCCATTTAACATTGATCAGTTGATTGTCGAACTTTTTTTCAGGCCAAGACTTCTTGTATTTTATGAGAAATTCGACTAATAGAGACTAGTTAAGAAAATTAGTTTGTTTGTTGTGTCAGATGAAATTTTATTTCATCTCGTAAGCTTTAAAAACAGTATTCTCACTCGTGGCTACGCCACTCGTGAGAATACTTTTTTTAAAGCCCACTTGATGAAATAAACTTTCATCTTACACACAAAGAAACAAGTATCCTCTATCGTTGAACAACAAATCATGACATGGAGATGGTCTGTGTATAACTGATAGCCGTTGGCTTGAACCCATACAAACGAAAAGGAATAAGAAACTCCAAGTGTTTGTTTCTACATATTTTGGCACTGTAGTGCAGCATTCTTTATAACAATGTCACAATTATATTTGCTTCAAAGGAATCAAATAACTATTTCTGATACGAGTGTCAAATATGTGCATGCGTGCGCGCGCGTGTGCGTATGTGTGCGTATGTGCACATATATAACAGAAACTATAACAAAAGAAAATAGTCGATGTAATGATAAGGATTTAAACATGAAAACAAATCGATGAAGCAGCTTTGATAAAACGATGTTTTGAATAATCTTTGCGAGATCATCAAAAGATGCTGCCAGTAAAAAATATTTGACAGTTTTATTTTGCTAATTTACATTTCGTATAAGGATCACCTGGACGGAATTCGAATAAATTTAAATTAAGTCAAAATGTTATACCGTAAACTTGCATATTGTCGGGGAAATATAGGCACCGAGCTTTTAATCGCCTTTATGTGTCCAGTGTTACAACAGTTTAATAACAGTTATATCGTGGATCTTTTTTAACACGCACGTTTGGGATGTTGAAATACATTATTTAAATTGGGATTTATTCTAAACTGTTATGATTAAATTTTTTATTAAAAGGCATATTATGCCTCGGAAAGTCATATTTTATAAGTTTTCAGAAATTTAAAAAATGTGATTAATAATGTTTTAATAATAGATTAAGGTATAGATGTCTAAGAACTACAGAAGTAGCGCTAAACATGCAGTAATGTGTTGTAAAGGTAGCAAAATATTAACAAAGTAATATTTGACTTCTAAACAAAATACTTATTCACTATAATTATACCAATTTGCAACATAAAAAAAATTAGCCAAATATAATTAATCTATACGGCAAATGAGTGTAATAACACTAATGACGGTCAAGTTCCATGTTTGTATCTCTTATAAGCTTTTAATTTGCTTTAAATGTTAGGATTTATTTGCCCTGGACTTGACCATAGTAAGATAAATGATATACCCATGTTTCATGTTGATAGTCGTTTAAAGGCGCCTTGTGCTGCATAAATATGCCTTTATCTTAATTTTTCAAAAGCTTTTAATTTTTGTGTACTTTTATAATTACCAAAATGTTACTTATTGGCATATTGCCGGAACAATCTTTTTCATCTGTTCTTTTAAGCAATAGGTACAGTTATAGTGAATAAGTATTTTGTATGGTCAAAAGTCTAAATACTAAGTCAAAATACTACTTTGTTTACATCTTTGCCTTATTTATGACAAATTATTTTACATATTAGGTTACATGCATCCACCGTTTCTCTTAAACCATTATTTAAACATTATAAAAGTCTTGTTTGCCCTTTCTATAGAGGTACAATTTATTTGTTTCTGAGGCAAAGTTTGCCATTAAAGCTGGACATATATTAGGTATATGTAAGGAAATTCCAAGAGATAAAATCTCCCAAAATTAAGTATCACAAGTACAAATGTTGCTGCAATGCAGCAACTGAGAAGCTCCTCGCAACAAAAATGCGCTCATTACACATACCTAACCAAATCATTCCTACACACAGGTCTTCTTCTACATTGTATTTAGATTAATTACTATTATACTTTTTTCGGTTGTTTTGTTAATCATTTTAATTTTCATAATCATACTTATCGTATGCACCGTCCATGAGAGTGGGGCCAGCTATTAACTTTTAAAATATATGCTTTTCATTGATGCCTACCTGATAAGGAAAGTAATTCCAATACAAACAAGACTTGAAATGTGACATGACAGTAGTGCAAAATTGTTGTTTGTGTCACTACTGTTGTCTGTAATATCAGATGATAAAAATATCAAAGCATGCATATTTTCTTTTTTAATGCTTCTCATTTTCTACAAATATCAACAACTTATCATAGTATGAAATATCAAAATCCATATGTAAATAAGCCAATCGGCTTTATTTTTCGAAATGTCCGTTACATGTTTCGCGGAAAATGGTATATCCTAATATAAAAAGAAAAGCATTGATGCAAAGCATTAAATTAAAGGGATTCCAAGCAAAAAATGCAGCAAATGATAATGAACTTGTAGACATCTGATGACCAGATTTTCTTTTCAATGGTTAACTGGATTTTACCAGAATTGTATATCATAGATGAATGGGCGGACGAAAGACATTGTTCAGCATGCACTTTAGTAGGCTTGCTAAAGATTAGAATATTAAATGCATACAAAACAGTTGTCAAAATAAACAAAGTCTGATTTTTATTATCATAATTGTAACAAATATAAAAACAGTATATAAAATAGTAACAAAGGGGACTAATTAATATAGTTTTTACATGCATTTATTTTTCATGTCAAATTTAAAGAAAATGGTTTATATTAATTTAATTAATACCCGGGGCTTTAGACACAGTAATTATATTTCAGGTCCCAGATAAGTAGAACAGAACTAGAATGAAAAATTTGGGATTAATTTCAAAAAGACCAATTTCGGGATTTTTTTGTTATACGCGTTCACAAAAAAATGGTACATTAGAATCATGAATAAATTTGCATAGCATGTTGATATGGTGCAACATTATTTGTCAATATAATGGAAGACTGTTATTTGAATTTAAAACAGGTGTGAGAAAATTAACTAACATCATGTTCATACAAGTAAAGATATAAAAGCTACTTGACATTGGTGACAAATAAAGAACCATTGTTAATTGATTTATTGGGAGATCAATCAACTATTTTCTTGAATTGTTTCAAAATGCTCGTCTGGCCCATCAGTGTGTTAAATTTCTATCAATAAACCCATATAACACCTCATGTAAGAACTGCAGACAAAGCGTCTGTTGTTAAAATGTCACAGAATTCGTCAAATCAACATTCCACTCAAACCTCAATAAAACCGAATGTCTTCAAACAAAATAAAATAAAAAAATTCGGATAATCAGGGTCGATTTAAATATTCACGGTAAAAAAGATGTTAGAGAAGTACAATCAGGGCCGTAAAAAAGAAAGGAGCTATTAATTTACCAGAAAATACAATTTCAAAATGATAATACTATGAAATAACAATTCGTAAAAATGGCTTACTTAAAGTTTTTCGATAAATTTATAAAGAGTGCAATTTATTGTTGAATATGTTTGCATTTGATTTCCAGCAAAATTTTATTTCTGTAGCGCGACACGAATACTAAAACTACTTTTCTATAAATAGATTTTGGACTTACACAATGTTAAGGTCATATATTTATAGCTTTCGAAATCATGTGTAGCAATGAAATATATACATAAACCACTGTGTACTAAAAAATAATACACAAATGTAGTAATTTCCTGTAGAAGTTACAAATGTAAGAAATAAATTACCGAAATTAATTTTATTTTTTGTTTTGTCTTTTATACTGCCTTTCCATCGGCAGGGGGTGACATTTGTACACGTTCTCATTCATTAAGATGACATGCTGCAAATCACCGAAGGGGAAACCAATAATAGAATTGATTTTAGCTGTAAATCGAAGGGATTAATTGTCCATGGACAAAAAGAAATAGTAAACACAATTAGACAAACAAAGTTGTTGGTCCTTTAGCAATGTACTTTTTTCACAACGGCATCAATCAGTCAACAAAGTTGCAAGTTCATAACTCCAAGTATGACAAACTACAAAGGGCAATGACTCCAAAATTATGCATAAGCGTTATGGTGCATAGGCAATGCACTTGTTTTCTGAAAAAGAGTAAGATCTTGATTTTGAAGTTGAAAATGGATAACTCCAAAAACAAACATAAAAGTCCGAAATTGTCACTTCATAAAAAAGTCATTTATAATAAAATTATTTCTAATTTTCCAAATACAAACGGCAAAGTTATAATGTCATTCATAAACATCACTACTACAGACAATAATAAAATCTCTGAGTACAATAGAAAATTAATTCAAGCATGAACTCATTTCAAATATATAGAGCTTCTCTTTCTTTAGTCTTATAAATGTTGTAAAATCAATTTGTGCATGCTCATCGCCCTAGAAAATGTTTATCCTTGTCTTGATTTTTCCTGCAATTGTTGTTAATTATAAACTCTATGATTCCATTGATTTCACATTCGTCAAAGACAAATTCTGCCGAGTTTTTCCTGTAACCAAAATCAAATAAACCACCAAGTTTTCTTAAAGGTTCCTCCAATTCACCATTGCTTATTATCAAGATATTCTTTTCCTTGAAGTGAAATGTTACAAGCGCCATTTTTCTCGAGACTGGAAACATAAAAAGGTAAACTATATAACAAATAACATTTTTAAAACTAAGCTTTTCTTAACCAATCTGTTTATGTATTCATTTATTTGCATCTATAATTTTTGCTTTTAATCATTTAAAATGTAATGTCATTTACGCCCTATGATATATTATATTATATGATATATAATAAATACAGATCGGATAATTAATAGTTGGATGACAAAATAATACAAAATATCTGCTTTACAGTTCTTTTGTTATATTTGCATTTTTGTCATAATATGTGTAATAGTTTGTGTAAAAATTGATTAGTTACGATCAAATTTATCCAACAAATTTGAACTTCCGCCTTTGCCCCATTCCGAATAATTGTAAAGGATGGATCGGAAGATCAATAATGGAATTCCGGGATGTACTTTTGAAGGAGCCCATAGTTCTTCTACAACTAATTCCGCTGACATGAGACTCATACTTTTTTTTAGCATCATAAGTAGTTTTTGTTCCTCTTTTGAGCCTCCCTTCAAACCATGTCTGAAGTAAACTTGAACTGTGAAGTAAAAACAATAACTTCTTTATGCATGTCAAATAATTATAAACCTCAATTAATTCTATAATATTCAACTTTTTTCTTAATTCATAGTCATTACTTAACAAGAAACTTACATCCATAAACCAGTGGCACATATTACTAAAATATGTCAAATACGTTAAAACTTACACTGTTATTTTAACATAAGATGAACTAAAAAGTAAATTCAAACTGTTTGTCTTTCATGAAACTTACCATGCATGACCTGTTTTTCCTTCAAACAATCCAGTTCCTGCTTCAGTTGGACGTTTTCTTTCATTAGTATTGAAATTTTGCTCACGTATTTTTCTATTTCATCTTCTTTTTCTTTGTAGTCTTCTGTTTTGCTGACCATCTGCCATTCTTCCTGATTATCCTGATTGTTTAGTGTATCACATTTCTCGAGCTTCTCTTTAAGATGTTTCAAACAATCTTTTATCTCTCCCACCCGGTTATCAGTTTTGTTATTTTCCATATTGGAATCATATGCTTCGTTATTTCCTATGTTTCTTTCGCTAGAACCAGGTTCATGTTGCTGACAGGCATCACGTTCTTTTGAAGCATTCTTCTTTTTCTCTTTATTTTCAATATCTGATGTCATGCCTTTAATATAAATGAGAATTTCGTCAAGGCATTTGTCTGTCTTCGCTTTGTATTCTTCAGCATTCTGTTTCATTTCCTCATAATCTTGATGTGCCATTTTCTCACGTCTCTTCAACACGTCCAGTGCAATATTTTGATTCTCAAATTTTAGTTGTACATATCTTAATGTGCTGTCCATATCCTTATTCATTAAAACAAGATTATCCACCTCCTTGTCTAGCTCTCCAATCCTTTTTCAGAAAAATCTTGCTTTTTTTCTTTTGGGGGAATGTTTTCTCTCTTTTTTTTTTTAAGACTTTTCTTTTTCCCCGTCCCCTTTTTTGTTTTTTGGGTTTTCATCATTTTCCAAAAATCTCTTGAAAGGGTTAAAATCCAAATTTAATTTTTAAAAAATAGGGGAGAACTTTTCCTTTTTTGGGTTTCCTTAAATTTTTGTCGTTGACCATATCTGCGGGTTCTAGTTTTTTTTCCTTTACTGCTTATTTGTTCGTTCAGTTTAGCATTTTTTACGAAATGTTATTAAACCATCTTTTTTCAAGTTTTAAATTCTTTTCTCTTAGGGGTATTTTTCTTGTTGATTTGAGAAGGTATTGTTGACTTTACTGGCTTTGTTAAAAGGGGGGCCTGGGTTTTTTTTCCTTCCCCCCCCCCCAAGCTTTTTTTTTTTCAGGGGGCTTGTATTTCTGTTTCCAGGCAAGTCGATTCTCTTTAAGGGCCAACATCTCTATTCTTGTGTCATAATAAGGTTTATCCTCCACCTTATTGCTTTGTCTGTATTTATCAATTGAAAGATCAGACGGGTAATCAATGTATCCCTTTCCTGTTTCGATAATCAATTTCATAAATTTGCTCAAACATTCCAGTACAACAAATTTGTGATCGGATACGCATTCCTAAAATAATTAATAAATACAAGTTTAAAAAATATTTGTATTTTAAATTAAATATTCATTTAAAATAACCTGATGTTGTGATTCTATTCGAACACATTGTTGAATATTACAATATTTTAAACATACATATATTAGCTCAACTTGAATAAGAACGCCTTGTTATGATCAACTTCAAAGAATATGAAAACGGGTAGCATTTAAGCATCAAGTAAAATTTAACTAAAGCCGCAGTCTCATTTACATCACGGCAGAGCCCCGGTAGACGTCCGGGGTGATCCTGGAACGACCGGGGTACGACCGGGAACAACCGGGGTACATCCGTAACTCTGCCGGCAACGTCCGGTATGATCCGGGAACATCCGGCATTCGACCCGGATGGAATAAAATATTTAATATTACCGGGGGTGGTTCGGTGATCCGGGGAAGTACAGCTTTGCCGGCTTCATCCTTAGCTCTGCCGGGAAACGACCGGGGTTACACCGGGGAAGCACCGTGGCTCTGTCGCACAAACCGGGGATGATCCGGGGTAATGATATAGCCGGTAGAGCTACGCTAGAGCCCCGGTGAATGCTGGCAGAGCCCCGGTGAATGCCGGCAGAGCCCCGGAGGATGACGATGGAGCTACGGTTGATCCCGATAGAGTCCCGACAGAGCCCGGTTCATTTCAAAAGAATCACGACAATTTGCGATGATTGCACTTGTTTGTATTAAAAATTTTCCCATTTCCCTTCTTTCTAGTCTTGCATAAGGATTTTTCAGAAAATCATCATGAATTACTATTCTGGAACAATATATATTATATTTAATAAAAATTATGTATCAATGTAATCATTTTCACTCGTTTTCAATCCACCGGGGTTCTACCGGGGATCTGCTTGGATCGTCCTGGGCTCTGCCTGGATCGACTGTGGCTCTTCCGGCGTCATCCGGGAACGACCGGGTAAGCACCGACATGAACCGTAGCTTCACCTGGGCTCTGCCTTGATAATCCGGAGCGCATTCTGGGTGGTAAGTTGGGAATTACCGTAGTGCTGCCGGGGTTAGTGTGACTGCAACAATATTTTCACCCCGGATCATCCCGGTAACTTACCGGGATGGTCCTGGGCTCTGCCGGGAGTAAGTGAGACCGCAGCTTAAACACTGTAATTAAGTTTAAATATCTCACTTTGATAGTCCAGAGTAATTTTGCGGCACGCTGCTCATCATTCAAATCACAGTCTTTGTCCTTCTCTTCTACAATTCAAAGTAAAATAATGGCTTGTCTTTTGATAAGAAAATTATAATTGCTAATAATCAGTTTAAGTTTTTTCACGTATGGCATATGTGTACACGACTTTAAGCTGAACAACTACATATGACTATAATTTTATATGAAACTTAAGAATTGTATCAAATTTGAAAATTATTTAAAGGCGAGCTATATGCACAACACACAATGTTAAACACCGTATGAGGTGAGTATACATTGTTACCTACAACACTGAATGCTATTGCACGAGTACACATTGTAGATGAGTCCGATATAATCAGTATTGTACTCAACAATGTATAATTACGTCATTTTTCCACACCACATTTTTTGACATTTTTACAGAACTTTATTACTTAAAGTGCAATAGATATTTCATATGGTATATTTGAAAATAAAAACATGGTTAAATATAGTACAATATTGATTCGATTTCATTGTTTGAATTTGTTGGACACTGAAATCAAAAACGAGGCTAGATGAAGTAGAACAGTGATTTGATATGGAATTTTTGGACTGACAATGTGAAAATGCGACTAATAGATAAGACTGCATCCAATAACATATTGTGATATAATGGAGCTCACATTGTGCAAACTGGAAGTTCATTAGCTACATTCTATCAGGTGTAAAGATATAAAAGTACATAAACTTTTTGTACAACTTACAATAAACTTGACAATAAAATCATAGAATCTGATGAAAAGTGTGGGTTCGCCGATACACGTGTATTATAGTGTGTTGAATGCATTACTCAAAAGATAACAATTCTGTTTTAAGCTGCAGTTAGAAACTCATGGTTATTATAATTATACAAGCGTTCTTGAAGATTAAAATTAAATTGTATGCATGGTTTTGCTACATTCATGTTTGAGTACATTTTTGGTTTATACATAATAAATTTTAGTTCTATTGTAAACGAAGCTATAAGCTTATGGACACACTTTCGAATCCGTTCCTGGAACCAACCAGTACTGACCAATGATTGTTAAGTTTCTTGCTCAAGAAAACAACGACTTGCCCCTGATGGGTTTGAACCCATACGTTAAGCGATCATTAGATTACCAGTTCGACGCGTTAACCACTCGGCCATGCAGCAACACTCATGAATGTAATCGTCCTCACCTTTAGTAACATCAACCCGGGGTCGTAACTTTCTGTCAAGTTCTTCACACGCTGCTTCCATCGAATCTATCGCTTTAACAAAGCCAGACATGGCCTTGTCTGTGGAGAAAATTCGATCCTGAAAACATTTATTTAAGAAATACGAGTTATATACTATTACATATGAATAAAAACAAACTTTGCAAGTTGGATATATCATATGATCAATACGATAAGTGTCCTTTCTAAACAATTCATAAGTAAGAGATACGTATACAGTGTAGTTAAAAAGCGGATAATAATATTATAAGCACTTCTGACTGTTTCATCAAACGAGACCTACAAAATCATGTGGCATTTCACATTATACTCATTGTCTATATCAATTGCTCTGGTGTTTAATTTTTTAAATTTCTATCATTGTAATTCTGACAATTAAAAATTAAAATTGGTAGGTAAAGAAGTAAATAAAGTAGCGCAGGAAAAAAGCAGTTGTCCTATTCTGCAGAGACGACCGGTTGCCTTGTTAGAGCATCGAAATATGGAACTCCATTCTTAAGTTCACACTCGAACGACCATTACTATAATAAGATGGGGACAGGGTATTGGACATGCAACATCTAGATTACTAACTTGTCAATCAAAAATCGGTTTCGTCAAAATACTTATACAAGACAGCAGTAAACATTGTCGTGTTCTAGAAAAATACATAATTGTATGAAATCCTGCTACAGTTGAACGATAAACAGAATAAGATAAGGCCTTACAACAGAGATTTTTATTTTCTTGCTTAAAAGGTATACTGTATTTCAAAACACAGTTCAGAATAGAATATATTTTAGAATTTGTTCGTTTCATTTGAATTGGCTAAAATAATTAGAAATAAAAAATAATCATTTGATGTATTCAAGGTTGTAAAAAGTGATAAAGTTATAAGAAGATAAAAGAAGCTTATAGAACATTTAGATTACATAACATTTAATTGTGCCGAATAAGGGTTATGTCGAATATTATTTGAAATGTTTTTCTTTGTTTTACTAAATGTTTTCAGGTTGAATAACCTATATCAAAATGATCACGATCATCTCATTATTTACGTTTATTGCAAGTTCATTAATTAGACTTATGAATAGATCAGTTTATAAAACATTTGACCTTCACAATGCCATAATGAAGAAATATATCAGATATAGAGAAGAAACCTTATCCATAGCTATAGCATGGATCATCATTTCATGCATCATTAAGGGATTAAGAAAACCCCGACAAAGATTTTAACATAATATTCACTGTATATTACTCGCATTCAAATCAAGTAAGTTTGTACAACATGCAGTTGTAAATATAAAGATAAATGACGATATGAAAAGTGAAATAAAGTTTTGAAAGGGAACGTCTACAAGTATTATATGGGTCTTATATAACTTATTTTTGGTATCATAAAGTGTTTCATGCAAATGCAAATTAAACTCTTACCTTATCAGCAATATCATTTCATATTTTAGCTGGAAAATAACTTAATGAGTGGAATGACTGAGGAATTGAGTTTTCTTCACTATAAATGAGCAGATTGAAATCGAACATGGAGACTTTAAAATCGCGATAACTATGTAAGGGACCCCACTGAGGTTCTTTGACATGATGGTACTGGAAATTATTTTTCGTAAAAATTACCCGACTGAACGGCTTTATTCGAAATGAACGAATAATGTTTTTTTTATTGCGCATTTAAATATAATAAAGTTCAATTAGTATTTGTTATAACTGTTCAAGCAAATCTGTATGAAACTATCTGCTGAAACACTTACTTCTTTTACGATTGAGAAGTTTACATATTGGAAAAACAATTAAAAGGTTTTGACCTTATAATCAGTATGCAATTGATAGGTTAATCCTTTAATTTTGTTTTCCGACAAACAACACTAATTTGATAAAGGTGCCTTGCTACATTTGGACGTATTTCTATGTAACATATAAATGGTGCATGCCATCGGCCACCGCCATGCATTGTAAGGTGAATTATAAAACAAAAGAATCTAAAAGATGCCTTTATTTTTTAAGAATCTAAAAGAAGCCTTTATTTGATTATACCAGCTATACGATGAAAGCGAAATTTCCAAAATGATGAACTTTGCATTCATGATAAAATCTTTTTCAACTTAATTCCAAGACGAAACGTGATTTTAGAAGAATTATACTTAAAAGCACTTGCAGTACTTTTATATTCAATTAAATCATGTAATGAAAAATAAGTTACCTGAAAATCTCGGACTAGAGATTCTCCAATTTCAAGACAAGGCCTTCCTTCCTTTAATTCTAAACTCATCTTATTGCCCATCTTTGTATGTGTCTAAAATAGAATAGTCAAATATAACTGTGATTTTTCAGAGCTATTTTCTTGATAGAAACACAATAAAGACCTCATGTCCTCACTGTGTTTTTTGCTAGGGATGATCCCTCCAAAGAAAAATATATTAATTAAAATTTGCCATACGGTATGAGAAACATTTGTGATGACGTCAACGTCCATAAGTACTGAGGCAAACCATTTTATGGTACCGTATTTTACCATGTATCTCTCCACGTATATTTCATAAGTGAACAGAATAGATCAGAACAGTTATGTTCAAGAGTGAGCGTTTGAAACAGGCATAGCCTAACTGGATAGCATGAGCAAACTATCTCCTTTTAAAAAAGATGTAACTGATATAAACACGTGTGGTATTAGTGTATGCAAATCTAAACCTTTCGGTGCTAAACACATTAAAATAAATTAAACTGAATGTCCCATAGTGTGTGAGCTTTATTTTACTCGGACACGAGTTCATATGGAAACATATGAACTTTTTATATTTAGTACGTAGCTAGCTGGTTACGATACATTTAAATACTGAACTGCTACCACCGTGTTGTAAGAGAACGTTACGACGTGTCGTCCCTCTCGCCCATTTACCATAAAGGTAACTATGCTTTATAATCGATTCTAATCATATTTTCTATTGCTTAATTAAAATGAAAGTGGATTGATGGTCTATTAGAAAATGAAAAAAAAGTATTTAAATGAGAACAGATTAAGCATCAAATTAAATTATTTGACTTTTATAAAGATCGCCGAGTATATATATATACAACTTGAAGCTTCTGTAAAAAGTGACAAGTTGACATTGAAAAAACTGAATTACATTACTTAAACTGAAAATAATATACGGATCAAAAGTAGCATATTTACAAAATATTTTTAAAAACTATTAAATCGAAATAAACAAAGATATGTTCGTTTTAATCGTGTTTTCCCTCGATATCATTAAACAATAACATTAGACATGCGTTGATTTACTTTTCAATATACCTTACAAGACGTTAACTTAATTGCCACATATAGGCACTTTCGGCTTCGAAGCTGAACTTGCACCATGCCGAGTTTACTTTAAAACGCGGTTTTACCAATTGTGTGTTAGACTGTAAATGTCATTCGTTATTAAAGCTCAGGTTAATTGGCATTCAGCAAAAACATTTGCATTTCGCTATTTATAAGTTTATCATTATGGCAAAGACAATACGTGTGGTATAAATACAAACAAAGATATATGAACATTAATGTTATTTACGATCAGTAGAATTTAAATAAGTCAAGAGTTTCTGTACGTAAAGATAAATCACTCGTTATGAATTTTGCAAGATTTAATACGGTTTTACTATTCTTTGAATACGTTAATTTATTGATTTTTTAATAAGTAATTAATAGAATGTTATATTCGTGTAGATTCACTACATGTACTAAATTTATTGAACTTAAACATCGTTGAATAAAAAAAATACATCATTTTAAGTAACTGACGTTTGTAGTAAAGGATGATATGATTGTGTAAGTATTTTTTAAAGGAGAGACAATTAAATGTTTTCATCAAATCGTAACGGATACGTCACTGCACAAGGGAAGTTATTCTGTCGGTCCTTTACTATGAATAATATAAACATTATTCGTGGAATTTAAAATCGAAAGTACGTATACAATAAGTAAACTAGGTGATTCCCCTTTGTACATTGGTTGGTTTTCCAAAATTCAACAAAATTACAGCTGATATTTCAAAGTTAATGAGTTGAAATTTCTCGACAAATTTTATGGATCAACGGTCATTTTTGACCATCGAAACGCCCGCAAAAAGCCTTGTCAAATTTTATGGACCTTCGGTCAATTTTGACCGAACGAAACCTGCCCTAGCTGCCCCTTAAAGGCGAGATCAGACCTCGCTATTAATCAAGGAGGGTGGGTACGGAATACCATACAACATCTTCATGTGCTGACACTGGACCTTGTTTAGTCAAAAAGACCTTGTTATACTACATGTCAGATGAAAACATATTTAAGAAACCTATTTTGATTTATATGGGCAGTTAAAAGTGGTGTCCAGAACTGACATCCAAACGAAGATAAAGTCTGTTTCGGTACATGTACATAGTCAAAATATATAGACGTGCCAAAGCTTGATTCTGATAAGTTTTCGTTCTGGGGCAGATTTGTTTGTTTGTTTGTTTGTTTGTTTCATTTTACGCCTTTTTCCAACAGTATTTCAGTCATATAGGCGGGTAGTTTCCTAATCCATAGTTCCTGGAGAGTTACACCAGTACTAGACTACCTTCATCCGTGCTAAACTACCAAAGCATATCTCGGGCATCGAACCCACGCCACAGAGGTAAGTTGTTCTGGGCAGAATCTAGCTTTAAAAGTGTATAACCGGTAGAGGCGAGATATTGCCCAGACACGAAAATAGCACAATATCTCGTCGCGCAGTATAATTAGTTGGACTAGTAGTGTACAAAGAAAGAACAAAGAAAGTAATTAACATATTGAAAACGGTATTGCAATCCACATAAATTATCAAAAAAAGAGGTCAACATATGCAAAAACAGCCCTTACTGCGTTAGTCACGCTGCAGAAATATGGTGATAAATACTGAAAAATATCAGACAATTAATCGCACTTAACATGTAAATAATTACTTGAATCATGAATCTTTTCACTTCTTAGTACATTTTTCTCAAGTTTGATTTTCTTTCATCTAGAGGCATGCAGCACCTTTAAAACCGGTTCCCTTAATAATTATCTATAATACACAAAATATAAAATATTTCTCTTCTAAGATGCTTTTACGTATATGCCAGATAAGTTATCTCAGCAAACTCTAACCATGGGATTTTATTAATTAATGATACAATTAGTCATTTAAAAAGGATAATAAAATCTAATGAACAATAAAATTTAAATGCTCACCTCAAGCTTCCTTATATGTTGTTTTGCTATTTAAGCAAATTCTTTTAATTGTTGCTTAACTTCTTTATATGTAAATGATACATTTTGTTGGCTTCTTAAAGAACTGAAATAGGAATTAAATTGTAATATACATAATGTATCGTATAGCCTCAATGTAATTTCATAAATTTACATAAAATGTTAACGCTGAACTTACTCTAATGCAAGGTTATCACTGATTTTGGTTTCTTTTTACATATATTCATATATACATCTTTGATCACATAATTATGGAAGTCACTTCATGCTATATTATTTAATATCAAAATAGAAAGGGACAGAAAAGCTATCTACATATAGACATTTATAAGCTATTTAAAATCAAATTAAATGCGTCTACTTTCGTTTTCTATACCTCAATGCAAATCTTAGCTTTTAAATCGAAAGCAGAATTTTAAGTTTACCGTAAATTACCTTGTTGATAACTTACCGTATAAAGTAAACATGATATTAGTGCATACATACCTGTTGTTTAATAGACACAAAATAAGCCTTTACGCATTTACGGTGAATGTTGACTAAATAAGTAATGTCGAGGTCATTCAAAGTGGAAAACCACAATTCAAAATCGAAAGTAGCCTACTTTTTTTTAGATTGATATTCGCTCCACCCGTGTATCGTACTCAATATTATAACAAGGGGGTTAATCCATGCGCGCGCATCCTTAAAGTTCTGATACCGCGAACACTTCATCGGCCGGTATTTCGAAGAAAAACGAGTGGTGTGAAGAAATCAGAAAAGGTATGAATTTAATTTGTTTTGCAAAGAAGATGTCCTAACTTCTAGTTTTTTATATACAAAATGTCTTGAAGTAACTCTTTCCTGTTTTGTCAGTATTTCGCGGTTGATGCGATTTTGATTCTGGATAGTGCGTACACCCGGCATTTGAAAAAATGTTACAGAAAATGAGCAAATATCGATTAAACTGGCCGTTTTAAATGGCTGGAAGTTATTCTGATGTAGAATCCTTTTCAAAAATATATATTTCAACCTTCGTTCCAATTCATTTTTACTAAAATGTATTTAAACGCACTATTTACAGAAAACAGAGATAATTGATATTGCGTAACACTCTAAAAATATCCAGATACTGCGTACACATAACTATGCAATTGATAGAAAGTGCATTTTATCCGAAAACAGTTTATAAAACGATAAAGGGGATTGCATGGGTGTCCCGTTTTAAATCTAAATCTAAAAATATTTAGAATTAACATTTATTTATGCAATTTATTTAGGTATTTATGTAAAACCTGGTGAATAATTGTCTATCTTGATATGTTTTAATACTCTACATTTTGAAATAAATTACTTTTTTTAACAGTCAAATGTATATCTTATTTCAGAAAATGAATGTGTGTCGATTTTGTGGTGAATTCTTTGCCAGTGAATCTTCTCTCAGACAGCATGAGGCACGACATCAGCATGATGGCCCCTACAAATGTGATATATGTACTCAAGTGGCTTTTCGGAGTACCATTACAAAACACACATGCAGCGTCATTCCTCTGAACGCAAGTACGAATGTAAATGCGGCAAATCGTTCAAGACGTCTCATGATTGAACAAAGAAAGAGCCAAACAAAGGAATTCAAATGTGATGAATGTGGCTTGGCCTTCTCTAATAATAAATATCTTAGGTATAAATTCAGGTATATATGCAATCTTTACAGACACTCCAAAATGCACGAAGGGTGAACATTGTGGAAAAAATTTCCAAGCAAAGCAGCTATTTCGTCCCATCTCTCATATGCAAGTAAAGATCCTCTCAAGTGCAGTATTTATAATCAAAGTACAGAAGGCGCTGAATTTGTTTGGGTCTTAGAATGTCAGAAAGGTGAAGGCTGTATGATAATAAACCGATTTGTTTTTGTATATTGCCACCAATGCTTTCCAGTGTTTTAACTGTAGTAAATTGGCATAAGACTAATTGCAACACTGATATTCATTTCAATGTTAATTTGACTTAAACAATTAAAAAAAATTAGTTGACCTTAACTGGGATTTGAAGTTGCATGTAAACGGCCTGAAGAAAACCATATTATTCTAAATGAGGGTTCGTTACTGACGCTAAACCTGTTGTTTAACACAGATGTAAATAATCATGGAGCTTACTATACGCATGTATATCTATAATTAAAGAATAAAACAACATTAGAAATCTTCGACCATTCGGGAACTATTTTGCTTGAAAATTACTGCGCTTGTCATTTGACAATCTTTACGCAGTGATCTCCCCTGAATTTTTCGTCGTTAGTGTACATATAAAGGGAAGTAACCGCTTAAAAAAACGGACTACTTTCGGCATTTGCAATTAACAGCATCAAAATTCGAAATTTCGCTACCATTATTTGTTTGGTCTGACGACCCAAACAAATAAAAAATATTCAGTCATACCAAAACTGTTAGGAACACATGAAAAGAAAACACAGTTAAAACTTCGTGGAACATGAACGCATTCCAAAGAAATAACTTGCTTGCAAGCATTTTTAGTTCAAGTTACAAATATTGCTATTTTCTTGTGCAATTTAATTTACCATGTTTTTTGCCCATGGAGTGTCTGTAAAGATTGCATTTATACCCGAATGCTTTGCCTACCATTCCACATTCATGACGTTTTCTCTTCTCGTGCTTATCTTTGTTATCACTAATATCTTTATGATTAGAGAAGGCCAAGCCACATTCATCACATTGGAATTCCTTTGTTTGGCTCTTTCTTTGTTCATGGCGTTTTAAATCATGAGATGTCTTGAACGATTTGCCGCATTTACATTCGTACTTGCGTTCAGAGGAATGACGCTGCAGTTTTGTAATGGAACTCCGAAAAAGCCACTTGAGTACATATATCACATTTGTAGGGGCCATCTTGCCGATGTCGTGCCTCATGCAGTTTGAGAGTAGATTTACTGGCAAAGATTTCATACATTCATTTTTTGAAATAAGATATACATGACTGTGAAATAAGATATACATTGGACTGTAAGAAGTAATTTATTTTGAAATGTAGAGTAAAAAAACATTATCAAGATAGACAATTATTCACCAGGTTTTACATAAATACCTAACAAATTGCATAAATAAATTTTGATTCTAAATATTTTCTAGGATTTAGATTTTAAATAATTCTTCAAACGGGACACCCATGCAATCCGCTTTATTGTTTTATAAACCTTAGACTGCTTCGGATAAAATGTACTTTCTATCATTTGCATAGTTATGTGTACGCAGTATCTGGAATTTTTTTAGAGTGTACGCATATCATTATCTCTGTTTTTTGTAAATAGTGCGTTTAAATACATTTTTTAGTAAAAAATGAATTGGAACGAAGGTTGAATATATATTTTTGAAAAGAAAATTCTACAACAGGATAACTTTCCAGTCGTTTAAAACAGCCAGTTTAATCGATATTTGCTCATTTTCTGTAAACATTTCAACGCCGGGTGTACGCACTATCCAGAATCAAAATCGCATTCAACGCGAAATACTGACAAAACAGGACAGAGTTACTTCAAGACATTTTGTATATAAAAACTAGAAGTTAGGACATCTTCTTTGCAAAACAAATTAAATTCATACCTTTTCTGATTTCTTCACACCACTCGTTTTTCTTCGAAATACCTGCCGATGAAGTGTTCGCGGTATCAGAACTTTAAGGATGCGCGCGCATGGATTAACCCCCTTGTATAAGAAACATTAAACTTTCAAAATAAACCATGGGTTGTTTTTCATCAAAACGACAAAGAGACATGGATGATTTTCAAGTAAAAGATGATCATGTTAATAAGAAAGATTCAGTACAATTATAATATAATATAGACCTATATAATTATGTATTGTACCTTCAGTGAACCGTACTTAGTTTTATTACATTTTAAGAAGGCGTAACACATAGTATTTATTTCTTTCTACATAAAAAGGGAAAACTGCCAAGTTCAATAACATAAGGGATTATTCATCTGTCTAGGGAACAGTTACTGTTCAAGTTGGTAAAATTCTGTTTCTAATCAGCCGCCAGATATGTTAAAATATGTCACGTCTGACTAGTGGACTCAAATGGATTCAAACCTTGTCAGGGACAAGCCGGTGATTCCTTGAGCAAGAAACTTTACATTTATTGCTTTGTACAGGTTTATTCCAAGAACAGATTCGGGTGTGTTCCAATAAGCTTATAGTTTCCAACACAATCGAACTAAAATAAATTTGTATAAACTAAAAAAAAAATATATGTATAATATCAAATTGTAGTAAATATTCATTTTTGAATTTAAACTCAAAATAGAATTCTATGTGTGTAATATGAATGTTGATTTTGTAGATACAAGGTCTTCAAATTTTTAGCAGCTATATACAAAACTGATGAATTTGTATGCAACTTATATTGTCAATTCAGGGGGTGATGTACCCATACATTTAATGCAAATTAAGAAAACTGCCTTCGTTTAAGAGATAAAATGAAGTTGCTTCAGAAATTGACATAAGCAGTGTATTTAATAAAATTAATGTAGTTATATAAACGTCCAGATTATCCGTTGAAAATCGCCGTAAGAAGCCTGCAATGTTAAAACATTTAAAAAAATCATACTAAATATTTTGCAGTCGCTTCAGAGATGATGGCAGTTTTAGTATGCCATCATAAGGACGAACATGCTCTTCCAGCTCAATCTAGTAACCGTGTGTTGAGTGGTCAGGGTTTAAAGGCATTGGCGGTATATACCACGTGGCATTTCACGTGAACAAGGGAATTTATTGCGAGGACATTAGTGTTTAATATTACGCAATAACAAAATTATATTGGTTAAAACTGTTGAGTTGAAACTCCGATTTTGACGCAAGGTTTGGAGCAATTTAACAGTTGTACCTGCAAATGTGTCTGGATTTAATGCGCTACGATATTGATGTTATGGATTTTTTGACTTCCTGTATTTTTATGAAATGAATTTAACATTAAACAACCCAATGTCACAAGTGTGCTAGAGATTAATATCATGGATATTTTAAGCGCTACTCAAGTGATAGCAGTTACCACTCGGGATCTGTTTGTTGATCGCCCTTTGGAGTCGGGGGTACAACCGTTAACGTGAAGTCAAATAATGTCCATAGGTCCGATAGTAAGCTGTTGTCAACAGTTGCACCAATTAAGTTTTATGTACTTATTAAATTAATATCATTAAATTCGATTCCATCAATACAATCCAAAACTGCTAGGTGTAAGTTTACCTTTTGACATGTGCATGTGTGGCTATAGTATATGCACACTATCACTGCCATTTGCATGTGCGGAAGTTGTAAGTTCTTTGCAGAAGTGAAGGCATATAACACCGGTAAAACCATGGGCCCTTCGTAGCATTATTTTTACAAATAAGTTATATACGATGTGAAATTCTGAGTTGGAAGATAAATTGTAGATTTCAAAAGCTCGATACTGCCTTATATTAATGATCAGCACAGTAGTAAGCTGCAATATATTTTTCACTCTCTATAATTTCCTTGAAAATTTCAGATACTGGAATATTTGCCATGCCAATCTCAAGACAAAACAATGGAGCTGTACAAAAACGAACGCGTGCTGTCAATGACTTGCAAATTCATTTCCAGTTCTCTGTTTTGTTTTTATAACGTACATGTATAAAACAGCTTTATTTTTGTGGCAGTTTATTTTTCCTGATTCAAGCCGTTCCTACATATTATACGTTTCAGAGAACAAACCACACCTCTAACTCATCCTTAATATATTAAAAAATGCATTATTGAAATTAGTGAGACTGGTTAGACGGACCTGATTATAGTTAGTACACATTAACCAAAGTTAGACTTAAATACTGCAATGGGATTGAACAAAATATAATGTTGATCATTAATGTGAAATGGACGAACATAATTTAGTAAATGTTATCAGATTTATTGCTGTTTGCAGCTTTTAAAAAATCACAATTACTTATACCAAGACATTTACTAATAAGCGAGATTACTTCCATGTAATAAAAAGAAACGACTATTTTTGGAAAGAGGGGTGGGGTCGAACGTATAGCGGCGGGATATTTTTTAAGCGATGTGAAATAATGCGATACGGAATAATGGCGGATTTTAGACTGTCAGAGTGAGTATATTTTATAAATACGTATCAGTCATTGACTATTAAAGTTGCCAATTTTGTGTGGATGATATGGGACTCTGACCTATATTAGCTAAAAAGGTATAATAGAAGATAAATTGGCAGTAACTGATTTTGTGGACGTGACAAAGTCATACTATTGAAGGCAATACCGTGAATGTTAGTATGTATTTCTACCTACAACTTACTCTTTATTGAGCTGCATACTTCTATGCAAAGATATAATTATATTTACTTATTGTTGTCAAAATATTTAGGTGAACGACGAGTTTTGGTACGATAAGATGCCTTATTTGTTAAAAGAAAATCTTCTCCTCTGCTACTAGGTATATAGGAAACACAGTAAATACATATGAGAGAGGATTCTTTTCTAAAATTGAATTTATTTTTTTAATGCATAACTAGAGTTTGGAATGAGAAATTGTAATCAAACTTGGTTTGACAGAAGGCGAGACCTGCGAAGCATTGATAGGGAAGTGGGTATAAGCTTTGGTTAAGTCAAGAAAATTCTGACTGATGTCTATGGCATGTCAAAGGTTTCCGCTAAATGGGCCCCAAGACAGTTGACTGACGACCTGAAACGCACAAGACTTGACATTTCAAGATATCGATTGTCTCGTTACGATGATTAACCTGATTTTATCTACCGGATCGTTTTTTGTTTTGTTTTGGGTTTTACGTCACATTGACACAGTATAGGTCATATCGCGACGTTCCAGCTTTACTGGTGGAGGAAGACCTCAGGTGCCCTTCCGTGCATTATTTCAGGCACGAACGGGCACCTGAGTAGAACCACCGACGTTCCGTAAGCTAGCTGGATAGCTTCCTCACATGAAAGAATCCAAAGTCCCTATCGGGATTCGAACCCACAGCGGTGAGGGGCCGAAATATGGGTTCACCACTTCGATCCAGAATCCAAAAAAAAAACAGAGCATGCAGTGGAAGCACCCTGGCTAACCCTGTCCGAAAAAAATTAAGAGGGTACAATCAGCAGAGAAGATGATGGCTTCAATGCTTGGGATAGTCACGGGATAATCATGATTGACTATCTTGAACAAGGTCGTACCATAAACCGTACGTACTGTGTAGACGAATTGAGACGTCTGCGCCAAGACATCGCGGGTAAAAGGAGGGGCGAATTGACTAAAGGCGTTTTGCTCCTGCACGACAGTGCGCCAACTCACACATCCCAAGTTGCGATGGCTGCTGCAACTGACCGAGGCTTTGAAATCTTTTCCCATTCCCCATATTCTCCGGACTTGGCCCCCTCTGACTTCTACCTGTCCGAAACTAAGAACCAAGCTTCGTGTTAGACGTTTTGTAAGCATTGAAGGTGTCATGGAGACGGTCAATGAGTTCTTTGCGGACCGAAATAGAGATTTCCCTTTTGAAGGGTTAAACAAGTTGGAGTACAGGTGGGCAAAGACGGCAATTATATTGAAAAGTAAGACCATTAATAGGGTTATCTGACTACCTGAAGTACATCTGGCCAAGAACTTTTTGATCAATCCTCGTATATCGTCGTTTCTAGAAAAATAGAAAAATTGTTCCAGGACAATAACTTCTTATAGGAATGAGATATTGTAATCACACATGCTATAGTGCAAGCTTACATGAAGACCTGGGTTGATGTCGCATTTGGACGCCCTGGTGTCAGGGTAAGATCAACGTTATAAAAAATAGAAAAATGGTTTCCCGACAATAGATAAAGTCAGGGAAGAGATATTGTTATCAAACTTTTCTTTGTTATTTTCTTTTGCCTACTTAAGGGCTTACAGCCCATAAACGCTTTGTTCACAGAATGAACCTATTGTTCTCTTTTGTTCTCTTTACCGTTATATACATGTAGTCCCTAATCCCAAAATGTTTACTCAAACAGACTGACGTACAGACAGACAGACGAACGGACCCAATTTCTATATACATGTAAGTAATGCATTTAAGTTTTCGACTATCCTTTGGCTTCATGTTTCAGCGTCATAAAACATAGTGGTTAAACATGTTCAGGTTTTAACATCTTTTATTTACAATACATGTATATGAAATGTCAATTTAGTTCCCTCAGTGTAAAATAAAGTGCACACCGTTGATAAATGGAACGTAGCGAACAAGGTAAATTAAGTAGAAATGGTAACTATGATTTAAACTTCTGTCCGAAAATAGGTGGAAGAGATAAAAAAAAAAAGCACGTGAGTTCTAAAACGATCAGAATCATATCATGTTTCGCATCAGGAATATAAAGCAGCAGATTCAAACTCTTATAATCTGAATGCAATTGTACATCGGACACAAACAGTGCAGAGAGAAAAACAGTTTCATATGGTGAATGGACTAATGTGTTATGTTTATTGTGCAATTGATTGCTGGTAAAAGTCAGCGGCTCCAAGATTCACTAAAAAGAGCCACCGCCGGGCGGGGGCAACGCTCGACCTTTTTGCTCTTTCTAAAAGCAAACAAACTGTTTAAACATATTTTTGAAAACAATTAACAGAAAATAATAAGTTTTCCTTTTTTATTCTAGTTACACTTGTTGTTTTGTCCAAGTATGAATCCTTTCCATAAATAAATGGCAAATTATGGAAATTATAATCAAAATTCAATATTTTGATGGACAAGGTCATTTATAGGTTAACGTCATACCTAAATAAGTCCGAATGTATGTGCATAAATAACAATATTATGACAAATTAACCCAAATTCGATAAATTTATCTTGACAGTCAAGGTCATGGAAAATTGAATGTCAATGTCAGTTCAACCTTTTTAGAATGTCTTGTCCATAGGTTAATTTTGTCAAAGTATGAAAAAAATCCATTGATTAATAACAAAGGTATAGCCAATTTTAGCGTTCATCAGTGAAAATAAAATAATTTGAACTTGAAGGTCAAGGTCACACATAAGTCAATGTTAATTTGAGTTTTATATACATGAACGTCCTGTTCTAGAGATGTTGTGTCTTAAAATGAAGTTTATTCAATTATGAACAAAAAAGTTATAGCCAGCTTCAGAAAAACAAGAGAATTTCATCAATTTGACCGAGAAATTAAAGTTCAATTTAAGGACAAAATCACATCTAAACTTTTCATTATGTTTGTTTGTTAGGAGGTCTTGTTTTGTTCAATCTGAAATAAAATCCGTTCATAAATAATAAAATTGTAACAATTTAACGAAAATTCAATAATTTGACATTGGCGGTCAATGTCATTTAAAGCTCAATGTCAACGACAATCTTTAAGGTCTTAATAAAAATGTTGTTTTGTCATCGTATGAAGTGAAAATTCAAAAATTTTACCTTTAAGAACAAAGTTATAAAAGAGCCAAGGTCAATTTGAGTTTGATATACATGTACATCCAAAATTTTATCCTGAAGTAATCCTAAAGTATGTTTATTATAACATGAAGTGAATAACAAAGTTAGAATATTTTGACCTTCAATGTCAATGACATTTATGAGTGAAGGTCAAAGCCTGTCTGGTTAACTTAAGGGTCTATCCTAAAAGATTTATATGCTTAAGTTTGAAGACAATCCATTCATAAATAACAAAATTATAGTAAAATAATAGCAAAAAACAAGCAAACTTTAGACATTCGACCTTGAAGATCAAGGTCATTTATGAATAAAGTTCAATGTCTGTCTGGTTAACCTAGAATATTATTACGCTCAAAATTAAAGTCTATCCTTTCAAAAATAACAAAGTTATAGACATTATAGCAAAAAACAAGCAAACTTTAGTCATTTGACCTTGAATGACAAGGCCATTTATGAATGAACGTAAAGGTAAGTCTGGTTTACTAAAATGTTTTGACCCAAGGGTTAGTTTAAATTTTATTTATTCAATAAATTTTACATAAAGTGGCATTTACAAACATTGCACAACAATGTAATTCAGACTGTATTGGAAACTAAGTAAAACAATTCTTATATCAATTCCTATCCGAGGGTTGTTGTGGCCAAGTATGACGACAATACACCAATAACTTTAATAAATTAAATCAAGATTTAAGTGTGTGAACGGAAAGGGCATAAGCAACGGCAACGCCGACATGATTGTAACAATACCTCTACTCATTTTTTGTTTTGTTTAAAGTCCTGCTAAAAAATGTTATCATCATGATGTCACATAAACAAGAATAAAAAAGTAAGTTCAAACATAAGTACCATCAGGTCAAATCACATGTTTCAACTTTTAGCAATAATTGGCAACCATAATAGTGAGACTTACTGTTTTGATATACTGTATCTCTAGTATTTTTATCTAAATCTGCAAGAATATCTATATATACATTCTATAATAAATCCCTAAGGCTTTAATAAGTATACAAAATAAAAAAGATACACACGTACAATAGTTCTTCTGATTAAATTATGGCAAAAAAACCTGATCAATTATATTAGGCCTATTATATGAGTCCTAGTAAAAATATTATCTACCCAAATATTAATTAGATGCAGCAAATTCTACATTTTGCGATGATACCTATTACCTACATGCATTTGTGATAAACTCAAACATTTTTTCGATGTTTTTAGAATTTTCATCACAGTAGGATATTCCATCTCTCCCGTTAATGATGTCAAACACATCGCAGAAGGTCCTGCCACTATGGCTACCTTTTCCACCTTCTTCTTTTTTAAATCCTTTTTTGTCTTTGTCGTGAAAAAACACCAAAGCTGTCATCTTGTTCATCTTTGAAACTGAAATTAAATTTGAACAAATCTACGAGCATTTCTAGTACCAACGGTCTTGGACAAGCTCTTTTTCAAAACGTGTTTCCTATTAACTGTCAATGTAACATAACCTAACATTTTGGATGATTGTAAGATGAATACAATTAAAATTAAAGGCATATAATCAAAATTCCAAATCAGTAGCATTAAAATCAACGAAATTATAACAGTAATAGATTCAGCATTATATGGAACGCCATAGCTGCCTCATGTTGTTACATTTCTTTTTATCTTGCCTAAAAAGCGTTTTATTATGTCAAATATTAGTGTTGTGTTGCCATAATATTTTGTCGACTTGTCTAAACATTGCCTAATTATGCGTGACAATAGTTTTATCTCTTCAAAATATGACGTTGACTTTTCTTAACATTGTAAAATTATTTCAAACAGTAGTGTTATCATGTCAAAATGTCGTTTTGTCTTGTCTGTAATGTGTAATATTGTGTTAACTAGTCGCGCTATTAGGTCAAATTGTGCAACTGTTTTATCAAAAGACTGTCTGATCATCATTTCAAACAGTTACTGTAGTATTCTCTTGTCGAAATTTGGTGTTGATTTGTCAAAGAACTGCTTATTTTATCAAACTGCTATGTTATTTTGTCAAAATACGGTGTTAAAATGCCTTTACATTGTTTTATTGTGTGAAACAGGAGTGTTAATTTGCCAACGTACACTACTGAATTGTCTTATTATATCAAATATTCGCATTATCTTGCCGAAATGGGGTGTTGACTGAACTAAATCAGCCTTATTATGATAAACTGCATGCTATTGTCAAAAAGCGGTTTCGACTTGTTAAAACTCAGTTTTATCAAGTCAAAAACTTGCGGTATCTTGTCGAAAAATATGTAATTGGCTTGTCAAATATTAAACAGAAGTGCTATATTGTCAAAATTTGATGTTTTATTGAAAAAACAAAAACGTCTTATAATGTCTAATAATTGTGTGTTATTTTGTTCAAGTTCTGTCTTGAGAAAGCGCTGTCTGATTCTGTTACACTGTCCCGTTATCTTTTTTTGCTCTATCTTTTCACGCTCTGCGCGGGCTCTGGTCACGTGATACCAAGTTTAGACAACACCGCATCTGGACAGGATAGCACGATTATCTGCCATAATGGGACGATGTTTAGACAAGATAACGTAAAACATTTGGCAAGTCAACGCCACTGTATTACATAATGATACTGTCTTTTAACAAGTAAACACCACATTTGAAAAGGAAAAATGATACTTCGCTGACAATATGCACAACTAGACTTGGTACTGATCATTCCTGTAAAGTTTGGATGAAATTGCACCAGTAGTTTATGAGGAGTAGTCCGGACAAACTTTTGTGTATCTGGCAACACACAGAAAAAAACACCTTTTTATCAAAGGGCCATAACTCAGTTAAAAATCATTCACCCGGAAAACCCGTGCAATAGGCGCAAGGACTTGAGATAAAGATCAATCCTGTAAAGTTTCATTGAAATTGCGTAAGTGGTATAAGAGAAGTAGTCCGGACAAACTTTAAAAATAAAAATTATTAAAGGGCCATAACTCTGACAAAAATCATTGAACCGCAAAATGCTGACAATATGCACAACTAGACTTGGTACTGATCTTTCCTGTAAAGTTTGGATGTAATTGCACCAGTTGTTTATGAGGAGTAGTCCGGACAAGTTTTGTGACGGCCAGACGGACAGACATACGGACAGACAGACGACGGAGAAGTGATCCATATATGTCGCCACTACTCCGTAGAGGCGACACAAAAATGACACTTTGACAAAAAGATAATAATTTTAGACAAGTAATCACCACGTTTTGACAAGATGATAAAATAAGACGAATCTAGACACGTTAAATCTGCATTTGGACATAAAAGCATGACAGTTTGACATACTAAAATAGCGTTTCAACAGTTCATAACCATAGTTTGTAAAGATACCACCATAACTTCACATAATAAAACAGTGTTTAGACAGGTTAACATAAAGTTTGGACAAAACAGCATGGTAATCTGAGAAAATAAGGCAGTATTTAGACATGTCAATACCATTTATCGACAAGTCAACAGTTCTGTTTGACACAATAAAACAACCTTTACACAAACATAATTCATTTGCAAGTCAACACTAGGATTTAACATAATAAGAATAAGTATATTTTTTAGACAGGATAACAACAGTTTTAGACAAGAAAGCATGATTTTTGTTTTGACACAATAAGACAGAATAACACAACCTCATACAAAGCAACATAACAGTTTGACAAAACAGGACAATACTCAGACAAGTCAATATAACGGTTAAACAAGATATCACTACTAGCCGACATGATAAGACATGAGTTTAACAAGTTGACATCAAGTTCCGAGAAGATAACACTACTGTTTCACATAATAAGACAATTTCTAGACAATTTACCACCACAGCTGGACAAGACAGCATGATATTTTGACATAAAAGACATTCTTTAGGCAAGATAACGCCGAATTGGAATACAATAACATGGCCGTCGATTTCGATAACATAATACAACAGTGTCAGAACAAACCAGGATCACATTTGGACAAGATGACACCATGTTCCGACAATATATCGTAAATAATTTGCGGTTCATTTTTAAAGAAAATAGGAAATGCACTTTTAACCCTTTAACTTGTTATTTAAGCACATAATCCGTTAAGAGAAATCAATTTTGAATCTAGAATTTCTAACAGAAATAGTTCAACTCTACCTTTATAAAATTGTACGATGTTATTTATATCTCTTTCTCGAGTCGAACAAAATTGCCTCGGATAAACAACAAACACGGGAGAGTCCGACAACCTAACAAAGTCACTTGTGATGCATACAAACTTCAGTTCAATGTTCTCGGGAATAAATTTCAACTTAAGCTGCATTTGTAGTTCCTTCTCAGATTCGAATGCTTTAAATCTAGGGTGGTGAACAACTTGAACTGAAATACAAGATATGAGTATACATAAACTGACCAATTAAAATGATAAAGAATACCATCATTTTTATTGCATTAAGAAACATGGTCGTGACCCGAGTAGGGCTCGAACCCATGATGTCTGGATTGAGAGGCAGACATTTTAACCACTAGGCCACCGATCCCCTTAAAGACAATTTCTAGTAGCAACATCCTCTGTACATATTAAAACAGACAATTGTTTTATAATTGTTGTTTTTTGTTTGTTTTTTTTTTTTTTTTGTTCGTTTTATCATTCAAAAATGAAAAAGCATTAACTTTAATTGATAAAAAACAGACTACAAACCATATACGTGTCGTTTTGCTGTCAGGTGTTGCTTTATTTCAAAGTATTTAATTGCTTCTTCTTTTTCATCTGTAAGTTTTTCTATTTTTTTCTTTAACGACCGGATCTCCTTTTCTTTCTTTTCTATGTCTTTCTGCATTTGTATTTTACTTTCTTTTAAATCAGTTATTTGTCTTGTATATTCAACGACAACGTTGGTCGTATCATCTTTCTCCTTTGTTTCTTCCTGTAACATTTGTGTTTCCATGTGTTTTTTATCTGAATAAGGTGTCATTTTTTTCTTTCCTTCAGTTAGGTCGATCATATCCTTTTCAAGGGATTGTATTTTCTTGTCTCTTTCTTTTACTTGTTTATGTAGCAATAGAATTTCATTCCTAGCGGTTTTCTTCGTTTCTTCTATCGCCTTGATTTCCGAACGGAACCGGTCTAATTTCTCTTCCCAGCTTTTTTGTAATGTTTCTAATTGATCCACTTTCTCCAGCATTTGAGTGTTTTCTTTTTCCAAAGCGTTGAATTTCTCTAACGATTTCCCTTCCTCTTCGAACTGTAGAATTTTTTCTCTCATTTGGTAGATTGCCGTAACATAGTTTTGTTCTTCTAATTTTGACATGACTAGACAATTTGACAGTCTTTTATTTTCTATTATATGCACATCTTTTACCTCGTTAGTCATTCGTGTTACAGTTTCACTAAACGATATCATGTTATTTGATACTTCATCTATTTTTGCATTCACTTTTGATATCTTGTCTAAAAATAACTTTTGAGTTTTCGTCTGATGGGTAATCATCTCCTTTCTATCTTCGATGCGATGCTCTATAAGAACTTTATTTATCTGCTCGTATAAAGACATTAGGTGTGCATTGTCATTATCCAGTTTTTGTTTTTCCTTCTCCAGCGATTTAATCTTTATTTCATTTTGTTCTTTGAGTGATGCAAAATTCTGTCTTTCATTTTTGAGCTCAACCTTAAGTGAGTCAATTTCATTTTGCTAATCAATAAGTATTTTTTGTAGTTCTTCCTTTTCTTTGCGAGATGCATTGACTTTCCTTAAGCATTCATCTTTTTCAGATTGTAATGTATTACCGAGCATTTCAAAGTTGGACTGTCCAATATTTATATCGCGTTCTGCATCCTCATTTCGACGTATCAGGTCATTGACCTTTTTTTCTAATTTCTCATTCTTTGTTTCCAATACATTTTTGTCTTTTCTAATGTTTTCAAGTTTCACTTTTAGGTTCGAAGAATTTGTTTCGAGGTCATGTATTTTGTTATATAAACGTTGTTTTTCCTCAAGATATGACGCTTCTCGTTCAGTCAAATTGTCTATCTCCTTTTTGGCCATTCTTTGTTCTTCGGTAACTCTTTTCAACTTCTTTTGCAATGATTCGATTACTGCATCATGATACTGCATTTCTTTGTCTAATGCATCTGCAAAGGTTTCCGACTTTGACTTGTATTTGTTAATGAACAGCAGTGCATCGTCTGGTATAATAGCATTGCACCTTTTTCCAGTTTCTATGATAAAGTTGAGGAGTCTAGTCAGCGAATCCACTATGATAAAGCTTTGATCTGAGAGGGCGTCCTAAAATAAGTATTTCTAATCTTACATAATAGGTGGGACAGTTTAAAGGCTTAATGTACGTTGTTATGTTTTACTACTGAAAATCTTTTGGTTAAGATATATTGACTTCGTTCTTGTTCACTATAAATGTTTTATAGCATTTTGATTAAAATTCAAAAATTAAGTATTTTAACTTTATTATTTGTAATCAAAATTAACTAGGAATGTGAAACACAATTCCATTTTATAGTAAAACATATATAATTGTACGTATTGAAAGCGTTACGATCAAAAAGATCGTGTTATAACAAAACAAAACAAGAGGGTCATGATGGCCCTGACTCGCTGACCAGAAACAACTGCTTTTCAGTAAAAGATGAAGGCCTACATAAGAATGCTATAGACAAAGTTTGGTGATCATGCAACAATTAGTTCTGTAGAAGCAGACGTTTAAAGGTATTTCTATTTTAGCTTTAGCGACCCCTAAAAGGAACCAATCAAATTAATATAAGCAAAGTTGATAAAAGACGACCTAAGAATGCTAAAGACAATATTTGTTGATTTCAGTAGGAAATGATGTTCAAATGGTTTTCTATTTTTAGCCCATTAAAAGGCGCCATCAAATTAATATGAGCAAACTTGATAAAACACTACCTATAAATGCTACAAACAAAATTTGATGATCATCCATGAATTAGTTCTGTAGAAGGAGACGTTTAAATGTATTTCTATTTTTAGCTATTATTTTAGTAGGAGATGATGTTCAAAGGTTTTTTGAGCTTCAATTTTATATGGACAAACTTGATAAAACACTACCTTAGAATGCAACAGACAAAATTTGGTGATCATCCAACAATTAGTTCTGAAGCAGATGTTTAAAGGTATTTCTATTATTAGCTTTAGCAGCCCCTTAAAGGGGCCAATCAAATTAATATGAGCAAACTTAATAAAAGACTACCTAAGAATGCTACAGACAAACTTTGGTGATAATCAATCATTTAAGATGTTTAAAGGTTTTTCTAATTTTAGCTCTTTTGACCCCTAAAAGGGGCCAATTGAAATGGCATGAGCAAATTTTAGTGTGACTGCCGCAAGGATGCTACAGACCAAATTTGAGGTAAATCTGCCCAAAAGTTTCAAAGAAGAAGATGATTGTTGACGACAAACGACGGACGCCGGAGTATCCCACTTTGATACTAATAGCTCACTCTTAACCTTCGGTTTTTGGTGAGCATACAGCCCTGGATTCGGTCCGTTCGTAAGAACGTTCATCAGTCCATCCGTACATAAGTACGTTTGTACGTCACTTAGGTCAAAAACTAATGTTACTGCGGTATTGATTTTCGAACCATTAAGTAGAGAACGCTTTGGTCTGAAGTCTAAATTATAGGTGTGGATTTTGATGATGACTAGTGGATGCCCCGCCCCACCTTTATTGTTTAGGTTAGTTGGTCAAATGTCAAAGTCACTGTGGTCATAACTACTAACATTTTGTCTAACAAAAACAACAGACACTTTGGCCTAGGTCATAAAAATTGTTGCGAAATTTAGTCATGACAAGAAATTGACCCCCATTTATTTTGAGGTCATTACTTTTAAAGTCATTTTGTTCAGGTCACAGTTACAGAGATATCATTTTCAAATGAGTCTAAAGAGGAACAAACAAGACTTTTATTAGTTATAGTTTTGCACAACCTCCTATCATTACATATGCATGTATATCATGTATCAGTAGATTTGACTTGCATAGATTATACATAAGTGTTGTTGTTTTTTGTTGTTGTTGTTTGTTGTTATTGTTGTTTTTATTTATTTTTTTTCCTTGTTTTCTTTCAATTTTAGTACTTTACCTTAAAATGGTCTAGTTTTGCTAAATAGGCGCATTCCTTTCCGGTGAAAACGCCTAGTGTTCATATTGTTTTAAAGTGTGAATTGCGTTCACACCATCTAGAGCTTCTAAGCTCTACAGTGACCTCCAACACGTAATTTAACTATATTTTCTTTATAATATAACGTTAGAGAGGGCATCTGTGGTTTAAAATACTTCTTAAATATGTCTTTTGAAAAAAGGAGTCAATGGCTGGATAATTAAACAGAGACTTGTATTAACTTACATCTATTGTTTCCAGTATTGTCATATGTTTTGGTGCATGACCAAATTCTTCGCCTCCGTCTGCATCTTTGTGAGAAAGAAACAAATAAGTTAATGAGTGAAAGTCGTATTTTTATATATTTTTTGTTTTATACATTTTTTTTCTATTTAGCATTGCTTTTGATATTGCTTCTATGTTTTTCAGTTATTAACGAATGTATTAAGAAGCAATATAAACAATTTCGGTTACACCATAACCCACTGTGTAGTGACAGAGGTATGAAACTCTACTTAAATTGTAGTCTTAAATCATAGTCACACATGCAAATAAAACTATTTATCTATCAGGCTTTAAATTAGTATTAAAACCCATGTAATTGGCAACAAATGAAAAAGTGATTTAACTCAAGATTTAGTGATAGAAAGAGCATCGAAACATGAGGCTATCTGATTTGCACGAGGGGGCATAGCCCCCGAGTATTAATAAGATTGTCGAGTGTTTTGGTGTTCTTTCTCTTTTGTATCATAGCCAAACATAAAAGCACATTCCCTGTTGTCACAATATGAAACCCCAGAAAAAAGTAATCAATGAACGGGCATGAATATGATTTTTCTGTCGCTTTCCTTTTCTCTTCTGTCACAGGAAATCCCAGCAAAAATGAGCCAATCAATGGGCATGCTCTGGAGTGCGGGTAACTAATCCTGCACTCCAGTTAACGCACTGTGCATACGATTTAACTTTGACACATTTTCAACAGAAAGGTCCCCAAACTATGATACAATGTTTGTTAACCATCCTTGATGCTGGGGTGGCGTATTATTTAATGCACAAACATGAGGTTAGCACACCTTTATCAATTTGGGGGGGGGGGGGGGGGGGGGGGGGGCTATTCACGCGGCTAGTAGACAACGAAATGTTTTAAGATCTAGCTACAAGGGAAGAAAATATAAAAAAATCGATGTTTTTTGTTTTGTCTGTATTCTGAATATTTCAGGATGTCATAGACACAGTAAATAAGTATACAATGTACAAAAAAATACGTAGAAAACTTCATATTATTTGACAAAGTCAGTGATGTATTTACATCACCAATCTTTTGAAAATGAATGATTTATCATTTTCACCAATACATGATTTTTCTATAAAATGTTTTATTACTGAAGAGAGTAAGTTGTCCTGGTTAAACGAGATCTTAAAAGAAACACGAAATAATGTTGAACATTTACTATTTTGTAGAATATGAAATTGACTACACACCATTCACACTAGAATCGCCGTTCCCCTCATTAACATGTTGTTTGACAGTTGCAAAAGATTCCCTTAATGAATTTGTTGTCCTCACAAAAGCCGCCATTGAATGGTCTACTAGCTTAATATAATACTGTAAAGCAAAAGTAAAACTTGATTTATAACGGAAGCAGTTCTCAAATAGTGAAACCTATCTGTAGTTTCTTACATATCATTCGTTTATGTTTTAAATGAATTTCTACTTTCATTTACCTTACGTATTATTCGATTAAGTTTAAAATTAATTTCTACTTTCTTTTACATTTAATCTTATTGAGCATGCCAAAAAGCCAAAAAAAAAAAACTCTAATAAAAAATAAATTGTTGAAAGCATAAAATTCTGTAATAATACAGTGGTATATAAATAAGAACAACAAAACCTGGAAATCATGAACCAGTTTTTCATTTATTTCCAGGTGTTGCAATATCTTTCTTTTAACTTCCACAAGAAGGCACGTTCCCATTGTCCTGGTTTGCAGTTAACCTTTTGAATAGATCTGCAAAATATCTGCTAATAAGACGTTCATTAACGCTTTTTAAAGGCAACATTATGCCACAAAAACGAATACCTAATTCTTCAGTAACAGAAGAAAACATGAGTTTTATAAATGTTTAAAATAAGGGTATTAGAGCATGTGACCTTCTTATCACCTGAAGAAAGTTGCGCTGAAAATAATTTTGTCATAAACGTAGCAGAAATGTAAAAAAACTAGTATAGATAATTTCTTACAAAATACTAACAAAATACAAAATCACAAATAACTGTACTTGTAACTAGTTGCCAAAAGGCTAAAAATGATGAGATCTTTCAGGAAAACTGTTGAATGAGAAACCTTTTGGAAAGTTTTACAACAAAACAAAAGTAAAAGGTTATGACAAAAAAATTAAAAAACATTTCCTGAGCATAATTGTCCTTTAAAGCTAGTAAAAAGATTTAAAGTTAGTAGCCTATACAATGAAGTTTCAGTTAAAAAACATTAATAAAATTGATGTTTTTATCCAGATTTACGGAAGCTACTACAAATCCGGTGCCCTCATCACAGGTCTTGTTTTCGGCAGGAGCGGGCACCTTGATAAACCTACGTTTTTTTTCCCCCTAAAATCTGAGGAGACTATTTTCCGCATATAACAATTTCATATTTCTTTCTCTTTTCATTTCTTTTATTTTTCAGTGGGATTATTAATAAATTATGCATGATAATATTGGAAAGCGAATAGACCTAGCAATAATGATGATTGATTTTTATTCAAATACAATTATAATTGTAGTAACTTTCGTTTTATAAATAAACCCCCCCCCCCCCAATAAAAAAATGAAAGATAAGCTTGAAATTGATATCGGACGAGTAAACAAAAAATGACAGCACTGTGATGCCGTATAGATACAATACTAAAGTTTTTTCTTATCAAAATGAATTATTAAAATAGCGATGCTAATTTAATTTAACGAAATTACTTACCTGAAAGAAATGTCTGTAGACTGTATTACACTTCACCTCCGTACATTACATCACAAACTCTGTAAATGTTCATTATATTGAATCAATTTTCAAGTAAAAAACCGGGTTATACTCCCCGAATAGGTTTTGGACACAGGAAGGTATACCTCTAGTAAGTGTCAGAGTTATGTCACAGACAAAGTTCAAAGTTTGTAAAAACAAAACCAAATGTTTGCACGCGACACGTCGATTCAATATGGTGATTATCTCTGTGAAATAGTTGTTAAATCCGACTTCAAGTAACGAAGTTATGGGCCCAGACACGATTTTTGCTGCAAGGTCAAGCTGTGACCTTGACCTTCAAGGTAGCCCTTTTTCCC